CCGCGCGCAGATGTGCGCCTCGCCGCCTCCGGCCACGAGCAATTCAGACGAGCTAAGCAAAGGGGGTAGTATATAGTACAGTAGTAGGAGCGAGAGGGTGGCGGCGCGGGGAGAGGCATTTTACCTGCATGCGCATGAGGAGGTCGGAGCTGTGCTTGAGCTCGTGGCGGCGGGCGGCGAAACCGCGGCGGGCGGCCTCGACGGCGGCGAGCTCGTCGGGGTCGCCCGCGGCGGGGTCGAACTCCCAGACCTGGCGCCCCACGTGGCCGTTCTTCGTGCGCAGCCACGGGTCCCCCCCGCCCTCCGCCACCCTCAGCCGCCACATCCTCCCCCCCCCCCTCCCCCTCCTCGCCGCCGATCAACCAACCAACCAAATCGACGGCGTCAGCTGCGGCGGCGGCGGCGAGAGAGCGAATCGATCGGGAGCGCGGGGCGGCGCACGAGCACGAGATACCGCCGCGTTATAATACGGAGGAGCGGCACAGGCTGGAACTAGTGGTGATCTGGATTCTGGCCTGCTGGGTTTTTTTTTTGGCTCGGCTTGGGCCTTGGGGCCCACTCTTTCTTTGCGGTTGTGTGGTGGTGATGTGGCACTGACAGATTGGGCCCACAAATGCCACGCCGGCTGTATGAAAAGGAGGTCTCGTGGGCTGTGTCCGGATCCGGAATGTCTGTTTTTCTTTTCAAAAAATAATACTATTACTTCCATCCCATATTACTTATTTATCGCTTTGATTTTTTATTTATAATATCTGATCATTCGTCTTATTAAAAAATTTAGAATTATTATTTATTTTGTTTGTGACTTGTTTGGTTATCAAATGTACTTCAAGTATAACTTATCTTTTTTATATTTACACTAATTTTTCAAATAAAACGAATGGTCAAACATTTTAAGCAAAAAGTCAAAGCGACAAGTAATATGGGACGTGAATAGTACTATATATAGTCTCTTCGTTTTTAAATATACGACAATGTTAATTTTACTCAAAAATTTTAAGCAAGATCAAATATAAGTTCATGCTTAAAACCTTTAATAAATCAAGTCGCATAATACGTAATTTTTTTAATAAATATTAATGGTTAAACGTATCCAAAAAGTTAATAGCGTCGTATATTAAAAATAGAGGTTGTATTATCTCAAGTGGTTGGTGCGTACTATCTCTATTCTAAATATAGTAACCTATATTAGACACATCATAATACAACGAATTTATAGTATCTTAAACCCTGGGTTTGAAAAGCTCAAATGTTTTTCACATATTTCAAATGAAATTTGTATGAACAGGGAAAGATATTTCATGCTCGATAGATTTCATTATACACCACTCAATTTGCAAACCTTTTCAAATTTGAAATTCAATGTGCACGCCTTTTTAAATTTTGCCATTGAGGATGTGAATTCTTTCATTCCGTGCCGCTTTATCCATTTGACGTCTGTCCACTACCACTGCATGATACCATGACGCTAGGCACCCTCCGCGAAGGCCTAGCCCAATGATAGCATAGGTGGTGCCCAAACTCAAGCCCGAGGACGACGTAGGCAGAGTTCAAGGTCGAGCCGAGTTCAAGGTCGAGCCGACTGGTGACATCAATATTGGAGGTTGATGTCGAGCTTGGGACGGTGTGGCCAGAGGTCAAGTGTGGGGATGGTGCCAAGTGCCAATGGGGATCGAGGTCAAACCTAGGATTACGCAAGCAAAAGACTGAACTCAACGATGAAGGTTGAGGTTGAGCTAGCTGCCCGAGGACAGTGGCAACGGGGCACCGATGGAGGTTGAGCGAGCTAGTGACCAGGGCACATTGCGATGCGCTAATCAACAATGGTTGTGGTGCGCGACGACAGTAGGCCAATGAACGAAGTGGCACAAAATGACCGAATTCGCGTTCTCGGTGGTAAATTCTAAAAGCCACACAAATTAGGTGGCAAATTTCAAAATGTTTACAAATTAAAGTGGCGTATAACAAAATTTGTCGGTACCCTCCTATTATCTCGAAATGTTGTCACCTTTAAACTTTTTAAAAATGTTTCTGATTGGTTGAAATGAAAAGGCAAGTGGATAGATATCTATAATTTAGAAAAGGAGATTTAAATGTTAAAGAGTAGCTATATGTTTTAGGACAATAGATTAATAAAAATATGAGACCGATATTTTCTCGAGATATAATGGGAGGTTTCGTAAGTCTATATTGATGTGGCACAGGTCGTAGTTGTGTGGTGTTCAAAATTTCGGGAAGGCACGGGTCGTGAAAGTATAACCGAAAATGTGTCGATCACAAGTTCACAACTACCCCTAAGGCTGCGTTCGGGAAAACGGAGCAGCGATTAGCGGGTGATTAATTAAGTATTTGTTAATTTTTTTTCAAAAATAGATTATTATGATTTTTTAAGTAACTTTTGTATAGAAATCTTTTTTTAAAAAAACGCACTATTTAATAGTTTGAAAAACGTCCGCGCGGAAAACGAGGAGAAATGTTGGGAAATGGAGGGAAATGGAGGAAACGAGAAGCAGTTTCCCTGCACGCAAACATATTTTTTGCGAATTGCGGAGCATCCAGAATTGAATACGTAGCTTGTTTGATCTTTCTTTTTTCTTTGAGTTGCTTGTTTGATCTGTCTAGATGCTGACTACATCGAGAAAATGGACATTTGGCCATCTTCAAAAGTAGGTTTCGCTATTATGCCATCTTCAAAACGTGATTCAATAAAATGCCAATCTCAAGCCTGCACTGCTATGAGAAAATGAGAAAATGGCAATCCAACGAGTAGGGGCTTGAGATTGGCATTTTATCGAATCATGTTTTGAAAATGGCATAATAGCGAAACACAGTTTTGAAGATGGCCAAATGTCCGTTTTCTTGACATGTCCATTTTCACTGGGCACTGCCATGAGCTGTGCAACTGTAAATCTGTAATTCTTGCATTTTTCTCATCTTTTGTTGATTGTAACATCTGTGACTTGTTTGCCATCAAAGAATGGTTGCTGCTTTTCATTTTTTATGTACAATTTATACTGGTTTACTTGTACATGGAGTAGATGGATATAAGAAAGCACAGGGATTAGGTTATGCCATGGGGATGGCATTTGAAAAAAAAAATTACTCGCATATAAAATGCGCATATAGAAGTAGTATGTGTACATGAAGTTTGAAACAATACTTACTGAATCTTTTATCATGTAATTTTGTTATTGATCAGTCCGGTAATGTGCAAGTTACCATGAGTAATTTCTTACATGAAGCTTGTTAATTTGAAGTTTGGCGTCACTCGAATTACAAAACAAAACTTCCAGATTGGTATTTACTGATATTTTTGCTTAAACACAATTTGCGTGCACAGCTGCAGAGAACAAAAATGCTGCTGAAGCATCAAATCAATGATCTTTACATGACCTTTGATAATAATCTTTACATGACCTTTGATTCAGGAAGGGAAGACAAATTGAGAGCAAGAGGTATGGTAGGACTGGAGAGGAGAGAGCCAATTGTTTGTCATGTACATATGATTCTTTTCTCGGTAATTAACTCCGAAAGAAATTATCAATTAATAAAAGCCCTAAAGCTACCGATTCTCTCTTTTTTTTGAAATATTATTTTTTTTTGCTCCTCGTTAGGAGCTCCTCGATTGGGTGAGCTGTGGAGCCTTTCCTTTTCTCTCTCTTCGGGTTCCCCATCGGTTCTGCCGGTCACGCGCTGCATGTGCGTCACGTTTTGCCTCCTTGGAGCAAATGACGCGTGCTGATATTTATGCAAAAAAATCCTCGTGTTTGAACGGAATAGCGTGCACTGCCTCCCACCGACTAACATCACGTTCCATTTTATACGAAACAACCCTCGTATTTTATAGAAATACAACACGAAGAAGATAGAGTTCTACTCTTAGGGGGTAGCGATGTAAACATAAAAAACAAGAGGTTTTTTCCAAAAAAAAACATATCATACCTATCCCCTCCCCTCCCAGCTCCCACCCCCAAACTCTATCCTCACATCCCCTCCCCACGACGCTTCGCCGCCGCCCCTCCCCCTTGCTCTCTCCCCTATCCCGCCGCCGGCCGGCAATGGGGCATGCGGCGGCGGCTGACCCAGCCGCGAGCGCCAGCCGTCCCCATCAGGAAGCCGCGGCGGGCGAACAGGGCAAGCAGGGAGCCGGGGAGCAAGAAATCGTCAGCGTGGAGGAGCTTGCGGAACTCGACAGCGGCGACCACAACAGGAGCTTGGCGGCGATGCCGGTTTCGACCGCGAGTTCGCCACCCCTCCCCACCTCACGCAGATCGAAAGACGTGGAGCTCCACCACCCCTCCTCGCGCATCGCCGCCCGGCCGCCTCCCAACTCCTCCCGTGCTGCGCCGCGGCCCTCTCCCCGCGCGCCGCCGCCCGGCCGCCTCCCACCTCCTCCCCGCTGTGCTACGCCGCTACCCCCTCCCTCGCGTGTTGTCGCCGTCCTTCCGCGCGCCGCCTCCCACCTCCTCTCCATTGTGCTGCGCCGCCGCCCCCTTCCTGTGCGCCGTCACCACTGCAGGTTCGTATGAAGGCCGAGAAGGAGAAAGAGAAGGAGGATTTTCCGGTGATGGCGATGGTGGCAGGGCTGCCGATGAGGATGGGGCCGAGGGGTAGTACGAGGCGTGGGACCTCTCCGACAATGAGGCGGTGCTGGGCAGATCTTGGGGGTGGAACTCCGCGGGGAGGCATTAAGTAGGTCAGCGGCGCGGAGGAGCTCTCTGCCCTCGAGTCGGCGCGGGGACGGTACAGACTTTGTTGGCGGCGGCGAGGAGGAGCAAGGCGGAGCTGCCGCCGTGCGGGCGGCATTCGGTGGCCCGTGCGACCCCCCCCCTTCCCCAAGTGACGGCAACGGGGGTCCTCCGGCGGATCCGTCGCCACACGACCGGCCTTCGGCAGCGGCGGATCCGGACGTGCGCGCCCTATGCATATGTTAGCGTGCGCGGCGTGGCGCCGCGCTTATACTTCTAGTGGATTTGATTTGCATAACAATACAAGTCCTCGGACTGTCCAGCTGAAATTAGCCATGAAGATATAAACATGCACTTTAAGTTTAGTTCACAACCCAACAGCAAAAATGAAATAATAATAATAAAGCTGAAACTACGACTTACATGCAAAAACCACTACATAGAACGGAATCATATGCAAAACCTGCTTTCTTGTATAGAGCTTGCAATCGTAATCAATAAACAAATATGGTTAAATTCAATCAAGTGGTCTTCTTCTTTTTCTTTGACTTGAGCATAACAAGACCCATGAACACGCTTAAGAAAGATAGGAGAATCACGCCAGCAAGCACTGGGATCAAAATAGCATACTCTTGAGGCAGAAAGTACTTGTGGACGAAGTGATCACTGTCAACAAATGGCTATATTGAAAAAAAGAGGAACAGCTTATCATCCAGAAATAAAATCATAGATGTTATATTTGAAATGAAAAACGCCTAGATGTTACTAACCAGGATGATGACCCAGAAAGTATAGTATGTAAAGATGGATAGACTTGTCAAGGTTAAAATAAAGCCTACTGCCTTGTCCCCCAATTCCATTTGTGCAGATATTGTACAAATCTAAACTTGATTCAGATGATAAAATCTACTTCCTACATGCACACAAAAACAGTCTGCATTAGAAAGCACACCAAATATCGAATTGCATAGAAGTAAAATCTCATGAAAGTTAGTCCTATTTGGGGAAATAAAACAAGATATAATAAACCCAAAGTATTTATACAGCACAAAGGTGGCAGAGGTGGCAACGAGATGGAGACGGAGAGACAGTGACAGGACCTCAGCAGCTGCAGCGTCGTCCCTCACACAGTGGCCTTAATAGGAATACAACAGTTTGCATGTTAGTTTTAACCATTCCTCATAAAATAAATTATCTGAGGAAGATAATAAGATAAAATTCAGAAACAATATTCAGGTAAGTAAGTCAGTGTGTTATCATAAACCCTATAAATCAGAGTGTTCAGAGCCACATGGTATTCTGACCAGTTCCCAGGCATTTTCCTAGACAAGTTTATACTCCCAAAACTTTGCTAGTGAATTACCACATTTATAGAGTGCAATGAACTTACCCATGTGCATATCTCAAAAATCGAATGCAGTAAGCACAATAAAGAATGTAATTAAATATGATAAAATAAAATCCATTTCTATTAGGGTAATGTTATAAAATTCATGACCCACATAATTTTAGTAGCCGTTCCATGGTAAAATAAATAAGAGCATTAGGATTCCAGTGGCAGTTGTAAATAAAATCCATTTCTATTAGGGTACTGTTATAAAATTCATGACCCACATAATTTTAGTGGCAGTTCCATGGTAAAATAAATAAGAGCATTAGGATTCCAGTGGCAGTTGTAGAAGCCCCATCACTGCTTGTACTCATAATTCTTCTGAAGCCTAGCTTCCTATTGCTTTGCACTAAGGTAAGAATACTCTCCTTATCACGCTTTCTCCAGACCTTGACTATAGTAATGTGCAGCACAGCAGTGCAGATAATTTTAGAAAAAGATTATCCTGGAAGCAATAAACACAACTATTCCCCAAGAAAACCTGCTGTACATGCTACATAATTTCTTGCCTCAATCACCGTGTATGTGAGTTGTTAGATTCAAGAATTTTGGGTCATTGGATTTGATGAATGAGGTATGTAGGAGTGAAGTTGGTGAATTATAGGGTAGATAATCAAGGTTAGCAGTGACCTGATAGAGAAATAAATTAAAATGATAAAATTTGTCAATAGCAATGCTATGTCATTGTTACATTTTAAAAAACCCTCAGTGAAATTAGAGCCATTTCTTTTCCCATTTTAGACGGCACAAGAGAATGCATTCTGCAGGTAGTAGCTGAATATATATCATGTTATAAAATCCCACTCAATATCTCTAGCATCATCTCACAATTAAAGGAAAGGAGTAATGTAAGATACTAAGATTGCTTAACAATTTACTCAGATTTATTATGTATTGTCAATTCTGAATCGAACCAAATAAAAGAAGGGATAATTTGCTTGCTTTCGTTCAAAGTGCAGAAAACAACCAAATAAAAGAAAGCCAATCCAATCACCTACTTGTTTACCGCTGATCCAGATGGGGATCCTGCTCCCGTCGCCGATGGCGATGCTGCTGTTCCGGTTGGAGGGGAGCGGTCCGCAGTGGCCGTGAATAGAGGCGCGACCAGTGAGATCGCAAGCGAAGATGGTGAGGGGACCGCGGGATCCGGTGCTAGATGCTCCGAGACGACCAGGGTTGGGGTTAGGGTTAGGGTTTGGAGAGCGAGAGCGAGGAAGGGGGCGGGGGGCGATGCGGGACTGTGGAGCGGGGCGCGGGGGGATTGGGGAGGCGGATTTCTCTATCAGGTCAGGAGGGGCGGACAGGGGGTCGACGGCGCGCGACGGCGATGATGCGGCATGCGACGGCGGATCGGTTGAGGGCGACGGATGCGACGACGGCGATGGGGATCGGTTGAGGGCGAGCCGGCGGCGGGGATAGGTGGCGGCGAGACGACGGTTGCGACGACGGCGGAGCGGCGGCAGTCGAGGGCGGCGTCGACGGCGGTGGCGCAGCGTGAGAGGGAGAGATTAAGGTAGACGGGGGTTTGGGCGTAGGTCGGGGTTGGGGAGGGGCGGCGGCGCGTGAGAGCGAGAGAGAGGGGGCGGAGAAGAGGGCGCGGTGGAGACGATCCTCAGCGTTGGATTTTAAGCAGAGATGATCCTGACCGTTCTACGAGGAATAAAAGAATGAGTGATGAGTAAAATCATTTGTTGAATTATAAGGTATATAGATAGAAGAAGAAGAGGATGTGGATGCTCACCAGGATCCCCTCCTGTGCTCGCCAGATGGAGACCGGCGCCCCTCTCCTGTTCAGCCACGAGATGGCGCAACCGTGCAAGGAGCGGAGGAGACGAGTCAGGGGATTTTTCTTTTACGCAAAGGGAAGAGGGAAGATACTTGAGTGCCTCACCTTTATCTCAAATTTAGTGATGTTATCCATTTTATTTATCATGACTGATGGTGGTTCACAGAGAAAAAACGCAACAAATTTGGTTGAGGATTTATATCAGTGCCGCTCCATCTACCACCACCGCTCTTTCTCCATGAGGCACCATCGTTCCTCCTGCTCCATCTACCACCACTGCTCTTTCTTCATGAGGCACCATCGTTCCTCCTCTTCACTTTCACATGTGCAATTGCACTCTCTAGTCACTGATTTGTCTTTCCGCCTCCCGTATTTTCATGCACGCTATTGTCATGGTCGTCGTTGAGGCCAGGGTATCGGCCTTGCAAGGACTCAGGACGATAGGAGCTGACCTGACCGAGAGCGAATACGCTAGATCTAGGCTCCTCCTTGTTGGATCTGGCGGTTCCTAGCTATTAGAGGGAAAAAGAAAAAGGAGAGAGAGTGTGTGTATGGAGTGGTTGTAGAGTCACTGGATTTGGAGGTGAAGCAACGGTGATTCCACCGGACTTGAAGATGGATAGAATGGGGTTGTCTAAATTGAAACAAAAATATAAAGTTAGCTATTTTATAAATGAAAATAATGATTAAAGAATGATATAATATGAAAATTTTTAAAAATACGTTGTACAAAATGAATTTACTATTTTTGTCCATTAGCCGTAGTCTCATGCTATCCTAAGTCACTACAGATTTATCGTTACTATATGGTATGGTTGGGCGGTCTACTTAACTATTACTAATAATCTCATGATATGTTAAAACATAACAATACAGAGTTCTACTTAAAAAAAGATAAAAAAAATAATACCCTCGATTTTGCTCAATAATAAAGTATTCGATTGTGGTCCCTTTTCTCACTGCACGATATATCATGACTATCTCTTATATGTATTATTTTCCCTCATTCTTTCATATTAATTTTTAAATTTTAGGTATATGTTAATTTTGACTAATATTTTTCTCATAAATAAATAGACAATAAATCATTATTTTATATTTCTCCTATAAAATGTGAATAGTGAATTATATAATTTGAAAATTATATTATAAGTGTATATAATTTAATGTTTGACTTATCTCTACTATTATAAAAATTGAAGATGTTTTTGCCGGTATTTTGGTACATCATCTGTGTATGAGTCAGTTTTTAAGTTTGTTTGCTTTTGGAAATACATATTCGTATTTAAGTCGGTTTTCAAGATCGTTCACTTTTGGTAATCCATAAGGAATTATGTAAGAAATTTGTTTAAAAAACTCGCATGCTAACTTGAGATGATCTACTCCTAACTGCATCATGATTTTCTAAAAAAATATATATCCAAGCGAAATCCCACAGTGAATTTTATCTTAACTAAACCATATAACAATAATGAGATTAAAATATACTTCACCCGTTACAACGCACGGGCATTTTTTTTCTAGTAGATAATCATGCAACTGTAAAACGAAACTCTCTCATGCCAGCAATGACCACGCGTTCCTTCTCCCTTGAAAGCCGTGGAATACCAAGCGATAGTTCGAACTGAAACATTCATTCGCTATTTGCTGAAACATTGTTTTTATATAAGGTGAAACAACACCCGATTTAAACGAGTGAAACATTTTCGATCTACTTAGTGAAACAATTCCGATATATCTGGTGGAACATCGTGCAATATTTAAAAATAATTCAATAATAAGCTAAAATTTTTTTTCGTCGGAATATATCCATGTGTGGTCTTGTTTTGAAGATTTAATTGCAACGAATTTAATGGTGTAATCAGATCATAATTTGGATAAGTACTTTAAGAGATAAATCAGTTTAAAGTAATTTTATACGTAAATCGAGCGCTGACGTCAGCACCTGATTTTACCATCTCCCGATTGGGCGCCCGACCCAGAGTCATCTCCCTAAGAAAATACCGTCTCCCCCAAAAAAAAAAAAGTTCTCCAAGAAAAAAAAAACCTAACCCATCATAAGAAACCGGTACCGGAAAAAATCGACTCATCATAATTTATGTTCCATTCATGTTACAAAGCACGGACACCTAACTCGTCATTTAGAAAGCGATGTAGAGATGCATCGTACTAATTAAGTTGCCATGATAAAGAAAACGGTCCATTAACTAGAAATAGTTGCACAAAATGGATACAATTTACTCCCAGTATTTCATAAACTACCTTTAAATATATATTTATCTCGAGACAAAACGCTGAATTATTTGTCAGAGAACTATTCTGGTTTCCATCAATCAATGTCATAATAACCCCCAAAACAATTTTTGCCACATGGGCTGCGAATGTAACGGAGTACTTAGGCAATTGACAGGCCTACATGCTTTTAGGGCATGTTTAGTTGGTGAAATAAAAACTTTTGGATGTTACATTGGACGTGTTTGATCGAATGTTGGAAGGGGTTTTCGGACACGAATGAAAAAACTAATTTCATAACTCGCCTAGAAACCGCGAGACGAATCTTTTGAGCCTAATTAGTCTGTCATTAGCATATATGGGTTACTGTAGCACTTATGGCTAATCATGGACTAATTAGGCTTAAAAAATTCGTCTCGCGATTTTACATGCAAACTGTGCAATTAATTTTTCTTTTTATCAATATTTAATGCTCCATACATATGTCCAAAAATTTGATATGATGTTTTTAGGAAAAGTTTTTGGGAACTAAACAGCTCCTTAAAGCACTCCAACTAAAAGTCCTTATTACATGAACATGACATACTCCAGTCCTTATTACATTAATGCTCTATGTAAAGAATGAAAGCTCAGGCCAGAGAGAAACGGTCAACGTTATTGGTTGCCAAGCCATACATTGAAGGGTTGAAAGCCCCGTAGATTTCTTCTGTTATAAAATATAGCTATTTCTAAATTCAAAATTACTCTAAAATATAGATATTTCTTCACCCACTCCTTCATCTCAACCATTCACAATTATATCCTATTTATTTTTTTCACCTACTTTCTTTTCTTAAATAATAATTGTCTTTTACTATTCAATTCTACTTATACTTAATTTTTATTTTCCATAAAATTCTCTAGAAATGTTTATATTTTGTAACATATGGAATAGATTCACTGTTCTGTAACGAAAGAGTCGCGTCAAGGACACAAGCACACTGTAGTGCAGCAATTGCCAGAAATCGATAGCCAACAAATTCTCTAGAAATGTTTATCTTTTGAAACAGATGTAATATGTTCATTGTTATGTCACGACGAGAGTCGTGTCACGGACACAAGCACACTGTAGTGCAACAATTGCCAGAAATCGATAGCCAACAAATTCTCTAGAAATGTTTATATTTTGGAACAGATGTAATATGTTCATTGTTCTGTCACGAAGAGAGTCGCATCAAGGACACACGCACACTATAGTGCAGTAATTGCCAGAAACCGATACGCCATCAAAACCCATCTGCCATCAAAACAAATACTCCCTCCGGTTTCATTTTAATTGACGTTTTGGACAATGACATGGTATACAAGATACATCTTTGACCTTATTTTTCTATTATAATATATATAATAAATAAATGCATGTTTACTTTTATTATAGTACTTTAAAAGACAAATCTATATATGTTGTTCTAGTTCCTTTAAACTAAATATTTTTAAAGTTATTGATAGTCTAAGTTATAAAAGTTTGACCTCAACCTTGTCCAAAACGTCAATTAATATGGAACCGGAGGGAGTATTGATTTTCAGTAGACCTTTCTTCTTAATACAACACTATGGAACCGGAGGGAGTATTGATTTTCAGTAGACCTTTCTTCTTAATACAACACTATGCAACTATGCAAGTCTCTTGTAAGAGTTCTCATTGGACCTTATAACTGTAATTCTGAAAGAGCCCAAAACTGAAAACAACAAAAGCTGCAAACCATCTGTGCCCACCTTCTTAAGGAAGATCTCTTTTTTTTTTCTTTCCCAGAGAAATTTATTAAGACAGTTTATCTTCATGGATACAAATACAACAACAACAAATCATGTTTAAGTTTCACTCTCTTCCTATACTGTTTCCCAGCGAATTATGTTTACCAGGTCTTGACAATATATACAACATCAGGTAGTATATAAGTAAGTACATATTTGTATAGGGTGATGAGGTGCTCAGTAACATCTGTAGCATATATAAGAGATTCATGGCATGCCATCGACCCCTTCCTTTATCACAATGCCATGCTCATGCATGCCTCTTTTAGCGGAGATGCCAGCAGTACTCTCCAAGAGCCCAGATGGGGAATATGTTGCGGTAGTTGGGGTAATTGAAGAAGAGGGAGCAATTGAAGCATCCAACGTGTTCCTAACATCAGTACAGGAGCACAAGCAAAACATGAGATAGACCTTAATATGTTCACACAAGTAATGCTGAATCACCTTAGAACATCCCCAGGAGTTAAACTAATTGGCCATCTAATTAGTTTCTTTTCAAGTTTCCATAATGACAGTTAAAGATGGAATTGTATGTCTTAAAATCCTTGTACAGAAGGTATTGTATGGTAGATCTCAGTTCCTTACATGTTGCGAAGTCCTGATTTTTATCTAATGTAAACACCATGGTTCTTTCCTAAAAACCACTTGATTTGTGCGAGGAAGCAATAGCCCATGGTTCAGTTCTTTTCTGAATGTAAACAGAACTATATTGAGCAGTATAATGTAAAATTTAGTCTAGTCATATTATGTATTACTTGATGACCATAGTTCACATCAGAGAAGCTGGGAGAATTAAACCCCACTCCTGACATACGATGCATTGTATAGGAGGAACCTTTTTTTATTGTGATGTTCACTTCATTCCATAAAATTACTGCTGAATAAACAAACTCAAGTTTTCCATGAATCGATATAAGACATACCCCCAACAAAACTGAAATGGGGACTTACTTGTTGGGGAAACTCCCCTGTTTCTAACTGCATATTGATTAATTCTTTTGCAGCACAATGCAGTGGGGTTGGATCTCGCTCCATCTTACATCCAAATTAAATAGTTACAGAGATCATTGATAAACAAGTTATTCCTATCAGAATTAAATTGAGAATACAAAAAACATACCTGTCCAGCATAAATTAAAGTCAGCATTGCCCAAGCAGTATTCACTACATGAGCACGATCACCTTTGATGTTTACATAGACCTGTTTGATATTACAAAAAAATGAAAATCAATGGGGAAATCTGCAAAAGGTTAACATTTCCAAAAAGTGTGTTTTAACAGTGAGTATTAAACCAAGCCCCAAATATGCCAAAATTTGTAGAAGTTTGCAGACTTCCCTCATAAAAAGATTTCTTTTGAATGGAAGCAGAGCTTGTTGCAAATGAAAATGAATAACTCCAACATACACAACAGATCAAATGAATGTGCTGTGCTTCAAATCCTATGCTGATTCAAGAATGAATGTTTGCTTGGATGGCTTATTTTGAGGGGTGTGAACAAGCATGCCCGTACAGCCATATTCAAGACACAAAATCAACAGGGTGCACACCATTACTAGTGTTATGAGCATTTGTTCTACAATTCTACTATACGTTCAGTAAATGCCAGTTCTAGTTGAATTTAAAGTCCTGCTTTAAAAAAACTATGCTAATTAACCCACCATTGTTTTTCCTACATGCCAATTATCACAAAACTTCCAACAAAACGAACCATATATGTGTATTCAACCATAAAAATTAAAATGAACAATCAAAAGAGCTAGAGAGATAAAAAAACTCACCTTAGTTTCATTAGAAACGTGGCTTTCTCCCCATCCGCCAGTATTGAGCTGTTTTGACAATATAAAGTCGCATGCTTTCCTGATGGAAGAACTATTCTCATATGTTCTTCCAGCAGCAATTAATCCTTGTACTGAAAAGAAGGCCCCATAGGTGAAGCATACACCCCAAGTGCCTAGCCTGCCGAATAACCAAGTTATTGTGTTACAAATTGTTACTCCCTCCGTCCCACAATATAAGGGATTTTGAGTTTTTACTTGCAACGTTTGACCACTCATCTTATTCAAATTTTTTTTGCAAATATAAAAAACGAAAAGTTGTGCTTAAAGTACTGTGGATAATAAAGTAAGTCACAGATAAAATAAATAATAATTTCAAAAAATTTTGAATAAGACGAGTGATCAAACGTTGCAAGCAAAAATTCAAAATCCCTTATATTATGGGACGGAGGGAGTAGACTAGAAGAGAGAAAAAATATCCACTAGTCAGTAAAATGCTCTTGCTACAAACCATGAGCCATCTTTGCGTTGCGTGTTCTCAATAAACATTGATGCGTTTCTAACACATTCTTCTATCTCTTCAGTACGGTAACCAGGGCATAGTTCTTTGAACAGCACCAAAGCTTGAAGCACTGAGGAGGTACATTCTGGATATCTGCCAATTTATAGAACAGTATGAGTTGCAAGGAGTTATTTTATCTACAAAGTGAAAAGGGGCTACCAGGATTTATGTAATTGCATCACTTACGGATAATCAACCACCATATTTGGAAAACTCTCGCAAGGCTTGAGAATCTAGGTTGGAAAAAGAGAAGACTTGTCAGGCTTACTGGAATGGCCATAAGAATTTGCAATAAAACTGGTGATTTCTTCAATGTAAATGTACTGGAACATACATGACGTGCTGAATCAAATAGTCGTGTTTTATAATTTGAAGTACATGCATGTTGCTGATGTTATTTCAACATCATAAATTAGATTGATTGTGTTATGATGTAGGCACAATCATGGAGTTTTTTTGTGATGTTAGGGTGTTAGTGTGCAGAAACTCACCTCTATCCAAGTAGAAGTTCTTTTACATTCATATGTAGAAATGGTACCATCTTTGTTCTGCAAGGAAAAGCTAATACGTTGACAAAATCGATTTCACATCTTAAAATCATGCCAACAAGAACGTTCTGAAGGAATCACCCAGACTAATGAGACCATAGTTTTCACAAGATTACATATGGGGGTTAGTCTTGAAGGAGATTACAATTTGCATACCACAAAAGATAGGAGGCAATCAACAGCATCATACAGCCTTTCTCTTTCAATGGGATCCCCAACCATGCTACTAGATATCTTTGTCAGCAACAATACAGCCTGGAAATGAAATTATGTAAGATTTCTAGGGTAGACATAATAGAAATTATGCAGAATTGGGAATATATCAAGGCCAATATTTTTTATATGCATGAGCTTCTTCGATGTGCTGTCACCGATTAGGACTGGATTAATATGACACTAGTTTTATACCTCATTTGCCTACATTAGTAACCAGGAAAAGAACAAAGAACATAATGACCTTCAGTGCTTCTGCTGTAGTGTCAGACACAGCCCACCCATTGTCTGCAGAGGAAAGAGTCCAAGAACCCTTTGATCTATGGCGATGCCAGTAACTTTGGTCACCAGGATGATTCCTTACAACCTTCAAGAAAGATTATGCAATTTATGTTGAATCTTATAGTCTTATACAGCAGTTGGTTTCTAAATTTAGATAATGAAAGTATAGATTCTGAACCTGGGAATTTTTCATGAATTCGTGGGCTCTCTGAACAGTTGAAGCATACTCATTTACAAGATCAGTGGCACAAAACGCTTGAATTATTAATGCTGTTTCCCAGCTTTGGCAACCATCATATACCTATCATCGAGATAACAATTTATCACAGTTTTTCATATCTTTGCCTGAGATAAAATAGCTAACTTTCTAGAACAAAAGGCACAGCAACTTTAGAAATTTAGCTTTATAGCTGTTGTAGGTTGGAAACCTTCTTGGTATATGTTTAACATATCTACTGATGTATTCCCTAAATATGCGATGAACATCACTGAAAGTACAACCATCCATAGGTGTATAACCTCGTTTCTCTGTTAAATTAATGACAGAACTAGATAGTAACAGGAAATCTTTCCTAGATGTAAAGTATTTGTCTTAGGGTAGTACCGGAAGTGGACACATTAACCATGTTAGCCCCACTTCCACATGAAATTTGTCAATTTATGCATGAAAGACACAAAAGTTTAGTTACCTGCGCCTTCATGCCATCTTCTGAAAGCCACAAGAAATCAGGTACCCTCGCAAGATGCCTCTTGAATGCGTCTGAATTTGGATCTTCCGCCCAGCAGCAGACCATGTTTAGAGCCTGAATATTGTTTAAAGTAACAAGTAATAAGAAGACAAATACCGCTTCACACAAACCGTTTGAATTCTGATGCCTAGCTCAAATCTGACATATCCTAGCCTCCCCGGAATCAAATTTAACACTTTTTTTTTTTGAACTAGGGCCCATGGCCCCCATTTCTCTTACTAGAAATGAAGAGCAAAGTAAGAATCAAATTTAACACTTAACATCAAACATCTGTAATTGACGATGACTATCACAAAGGGGAAAAAAAATTGAAGCTACCTTGTTGACAGAGCAAATGCAGAGGTACTGCGTGTTCTCGTCCTCGTAATGGATGTGCTCCATGAGTGCATCCAAAGCTCTCCCCCTCAGCTTGTTCATCGCCCAGCTGCTCATCACCGGCTCCACCCACTTGTACAGCCAACTCCACACCGCGTTCTGCAGCCGCGTCCTCGGGCAGACCAGATCCTCCTGCCACCACCAAAATCCAGAGCATGACGAACAGTTAGAGGAGAGAGAGAGACAGGGGGGATGGAGGAGGAACGGCGCCGCCGGAAGGAGGGCGAGTCGCCACTGCCGCCGCCGCCGCCGCCACCGGCGGCGAGAATCGCCGCCTCACGACGGGCCACGCCTCCCCCAAAAAGAAGCACAATTACGTTAGGCCCAATTAGAGGCCCAACAAATTCGGCCCAGCCTAAAATAGTATCTCTCTCTCTCTCTACCTTGGCGCAGGCGCTGCGGGCCTGGGCCCAATCGATGGTGAGGTAGTGGACCGGGTATATCTCCTCTCGCAGTGCCAGGATGGTCGGTGTGGTGGGGCCCACGAACTTCTTGCCGTACAGGTAGGCCATGGGCAGGTATACCATGCGGGTCAGGCACCAAAATTTGCCTGCACCCAAATTAAAATTTATTCTTAAAAATAAATTTAATGAATTTTCTTTTAAACATACACATACATATCACTACATACGTAACACCACGCTCACAAAAACGTGAAATACGCTCTCTAACATATGTTTTAAGAGACGGAAACTAGTGGCACATTCATGGTCTCACTAAAATCCTGTTAAAAGTCTACCTACACATGCGTAATAAATTAATGAAGTTTTGATAAAATATAAACTCTGAGCACTGCCACTAAATTGTTTTATATTGCTACTATTTGATGTAGGAGGATATATACATACACAACACAGTGTCCTATTAATATTTACCTGGATGAAAGGGAAGGAACTGTGGGGCTAGCCATAGCTCAGGGAAGATGGGGTTGTTTCCTGCCCACTCGTACACTCCAAGCATCTGTAGCGAATTCAAATTAAGTTGACGGAAACGAATCAACAAGCTACGTGTATTTAGTTAGCAGCATGCACTAATTATATATACTTCAGAATATATGTTAAACTCTGTTTGATTTTTATAAGAGCTGCATGTTTTAATTTGGAAAGGTCGATCTTGATGAATAACATTGTTAGTTATCATCGGCTGTATTATGAATGACTATAAAACCAATTGCGTGAAAGTACTTAAAAATATAAATCTTTATACGATTAATTTGTAAATGCTAAATATACCTATATATCATTTAGTTAACCATTATATTGCTCAAATTTATACTACTATATAGCTTAGCATTTTGACATTAAACTGCCCCAATAAAAGTAATTCTTTAGCAAGATTTATTATATAGTGCATTTTCATGGGATTATATAGTAGACAGACCGAGAGCCATATCTTTCCCCACTGTGGAACAAGGGTAGCGCCACCATGCGATATGATCCAGATACGTCCTCTAGCCAATTGCTCATTGGTTAGAACTTCGCCGAGAAGCCTTAGGGTGATATAGTTTGAACATGTGCCAAACATGGTGCTCGAGCTCAAGAACGTGCCCTATCCACCATCCTCGTTCTACACACACATGTAGATATTGATGTCACAAAATATAGAATATCCAATGTTTTCTAGTAAAAGCAGATACTTTGATCAAACTTTCACAAAACTATAGATTTAAAACGGTGTATTACAAACTACAAATATTTTTAGCATTAAATTTATCATGTGACTATTGGTTTAAGATTAAGTATCATAAAAACATAGATTTAATAATAAAATTATCACAAAACTGTAGGTTTAAGGGATTAAAATCAATACTCTTGTGATGACAACGTTATTGAAATCTAAAGTTTTATGATATTTCACTTTAAATCTATAGCTTCATGATAAATTTGATGGTCAATATGTAGTTCTATGATACGTCATCTTAACTCTATAGTTTTACAATAATTTGATTAAAATTTATGTAGTTTGTAAAATTTTCTTAATGTTTGTTTCTTCATACTAGTAACATTTAATTGTTACTTACAAAAATATGCTTATATATCTGAACTGTGCTTTAATTTATGCAAACCACCACATTTTTGTTTTTATAGTGGTAGCAGTACTTGTGGACAGTAGAGTAATAGATGTTCTTCTATACTTAATAAAATCTTAAACCATATTGGCTTATTATTTTAGGGTCAGCCCGTATATAGTTTTTTTTTGTTTGTTTCTTTGCCTGATGGTTGTAGATATATCGACATATCTCCTGCCGATGCTCTGGTGATATCGTAGTGTCCAGTGATCCAGTGACATATAAAGCAAATATCTGCATTTATTTTGGACAGCAATTAGATCACTAAAACCCTCGAAAATATGAATTAATTTAGCTAGAGACAATCAGACAAATACAATTGAATATTAATTACCAAGCCAGGCATGATGAACATAACACCACTGAAGTCGCCAGGCCAGTGTCCATCGTCTGCTTGCAAAGAGGAGAACTCGTCGAGAGCTCGCCTCAACGAAGCCATGGCGATTTCTTCAGTCACCTGTTCCTTCTCTCCAAGCTTGACGGCCGGTGGAATACTATCACGACGACGTTGAAGCTTTTTCTGTTTTGCAAACTGCAACAAAATCGAAATGAATGTAACATCGTATGAAATGAAACCAAGAAAATCATATCAGATGAAAGCCAACACTGTCACGACTTCGTATTGGTGTTAATTGCAATTAATTAATTAGTAACTTATTAAATAAACATTCATCTTATTCGAAAATATTTTATATATAGATATAAAAGATAAATTATTATTTATTGATAAAACAGTTTAGAAAAAATATATAGTTATTCTCTATGGATAGTTAAACATACGTATAAAACCTAACTGCATCATATATTAAAAAAAGGAAAAGAGTATAACCGGTCGATCGTCAGTTAGCCGATGATTGAGCGGTTAAGTAACATATATGAACCTGCATGCGCATGAGGAGATCCGCCGACTCGCGGCGGCGGAGGCGGTCATCGGTGAACTCACGGCGCACCCTCTCGACGTCGGCGCGGTCCTCCGGCGTGCCGTGGTCGGGGTCGAGCTCCCACACCGCCCGCCCGAGGAAGCCATTCGTCGACCGCAGCAACGCGCCGCCGCCCTCGGCCACCTTCAGCCTCCACATGGTAGCTAGCAGCTTTAGCTATATGTATATGGCCGCGACCACCACCAGCAGCTGCCAGCCAATCAACGGGTACTCGCCGGAGATGGAGAAGAAGGTGTAGCTAACTTAGCTATAGACTATAGAGCATGCACACGCGCGTGTGTTTGGTTTGCTCTTTGCCTCCTGGACCAGGCCTACCGATAGTATTGGCATGGCTGCTGGCTTTTTAAAGGGCTTGGAGCCAAATGGTGCCGCTTGGGATAAGCTGATGATGTACGCGGTTGTCCTTTTCATGGATATTCTTTCTATGGAGTACTAATACATAACCCCATCATCTGTAGCCGGATTTCTACCAAGAAAGAGTTGTATTTTCTTAAGCCATACGTTGATTTTTTTTTTAATAACGGAAGAAAATTATGTCATTTACTCAACGAGCTATGGCCCATTATTGCATAGATCCACTCAATTCTGAGCACACACCAACAAATCCATAAAAGCACATCCAAATAACACTAGATAAAACTCTACATTTATTGAAGCTTATTTGTAAATCTCTATCCAAAGTTGGCGAAAAATTATATAACCGTTGACTTAAGGTTCGACATGCAGCGTTCATAAGTTTATTGTTCTCATCACACCTTTATAGTTGTGCCCAAAATCGGAGTCAATACCTTGTTTTGAAAAGTACCTGTACATAAGATTTGAATAGTGATTTATCCAAAACCATATCATTTCTGCTAAGCCGTAGAGCCTAACATATAGAATATGCTTTAACAAGGATAAGATATTTGGTTTTATAATTTATTAATACCCACAAACCAATTCCCAAAGATATAAGATACACTACATGGAGGATATAAAAAAAGAAATTTATGCTGCTCTCTAGAGAAATTTGGTAAAATACCAATCCAGAAGTAAATGATAGATCATCTCATTTTTCATAAAAAACAACAAGCAATATGTTGATTTGACAAAAGATAAATTTTTTTAAGCTAGTATAAATCAGGTGTCCATTTTTTTAAAAAAGATCAGGTTGTCACATGTTGCAGTCGACCACTAATAATAAACTAAGTTGTATATGATGAAAAAAAAAGTTAGCCGTTGAAACATTTAAAAATTTATGAAACACATGATGAACATGTTGCTATCGCATTTAAGACATTAAATTTTAATGGTTAAAACATACTCCCTCCATCCCAATAAAAGTAAATATAGGACTGGATGTGACACATTATAGTACAATGAACTGGACAGGGATATGTCCAGATTCATTGGACTAGGATGTGTCATATCCAGTATTAGGTTAGTTTTTTGTGGGACGGAGGGAATATATCTTTATTTTATCAAAATAATGTGACATGTTGCTCTAAAGATTTAATTATAATGAATATAACGGTGTGATCGGATCTTATATCCGATAAGCAGTTTAAGAGAAAAAAAAATTCGAAGATCGCTATGAACTATGCATCGTGGATCCAACGGTACAGCCTTTCCTCTCTTGCCTCTTTCCCTCCCTCGCATATTTGGTGACGGTGGCCTCGGGAGGGGCTACCTGATCAGCCGCCGACTTCACCGGGAGCTAGGGTTTTTGAATTTTGGTAATCTTGGATTTAGGGAAATTTTTTATTTTTTTTTGCCAAAAGTCTATTGTAATCATGCGTCTTAATTCGCTCGTCTACGAAAACCAATTTTTATTAACGGGCATATTAAACTTGTCCATGTATGAAAAATCAATTTTCACGTACGATTACGATGTCCGATTATGAAAATCTTTTTTTTTACATATATGCTAGGCTAGGTGGTTGCTCCACCCGCCCGTAAAAAAATATATTTTACCTTATCTACAGTAGTGTGCACACCCCAGTAATTATACCATGTTTGGTTGCACGCTTCATAAGGGATTGCGAAACCAAAACCCTAATTTGAAATAAATATATAATTAAGGATGAATAGTCCTCTAAATGACTTACCTCATTTTATCCTCATCCCACCAATTAAACTTGGACACAAAACTTAGTCCTAATCACGGCGGTCGCTTTACTTGATGCCACCAATTAAACGTAGGGATAAGGGCAATACTTGCACCGAGATGTGCTTTCAATGGTCCTGTAAATAACACAGGAAACGACCGTCATCAGCTAGCACCATATTGCTGGCCCAACACACATTCATTTTTAAGTACGAGATGGTTACTGTGCCACAACTAGCTTACTCTCTAGTATCTTCAGCCGCTTTCGTTTCACATACCATGAATATAATGAATTAATATAATATAACAGTACCTCTCAAGAGTGTGCCCTTCGAAATTGAGTGCCAAATGGCCCAAATCAATCAGTACAACAGTATATAAAAATGCAAATCAATTGAAAGCAGCGCAGTCAGCATGACTGAATTTTTTAGTTGATTCAATTTGCTATTCATAGTTGAATTAGGCTGTGTTCGTTCACAGGAGAAAGGGGAGATTCTGACTCGTTTTCCGCGCGCACGCTTTTCAAACTACTAAACGGTGCGTTTTTTGAAAAAAAATTCTATAGAAAAGTTGCTTTAAAAAATCATATTAATCCATTTTTGAAGTTTAAAATAGTTAATACTTAATTAATCATGCGCTAATGGCTCACCTCGTTTTACGTATCTTCCCAATCTTCTCAATCTCCTCTCCCTCAAATACAGCCTTAGTGTTCAGCATTTATGCTCGAACAACAACAACTAAGCTAATCTGAATTCAAAAAAGAACTAAACTAATCAGAGAGGGTAAATGGTTGGATTACCAAAATCTAAATCTTTTATCAGAATTAAAAGTTACCATCGAATCGATGGAGATCGGTCTGACCGGAGTTGATGCGTAGGTCTGACTGGACAGATACCTCCGGGCTGATCGCCCGTTGCGCAGCCGTCACCTGTTGCTGCTGCAGTCGGTCTGAATGAGCAGTAGACGCCACTCTAACCGCCGCACCCGAGCAAAACACAAATCGAAGACTCTTGAAAGTAGATTAATCTTTATTGCTTCTATGCGTATTTACAAAGTGCAAGTGAAAAATAGGGGCTAGGGCTCATGAATAATGTTGCTTAACATAAAGTGTTTGAACGATTTATAGCTTTGGTCAGATCTGTACGTTGAAGACTTGAAGTCGTAGTTCCTCATCGTTTCACTTATACTTATACTTATATACTTATGTTTACAAACTAAAATTTAATTTTTTTAAATTTTAGTTTTGAACTTGATTTTAAGGTTTTTTTTCATGATTTATTTTGCAACATTTTCTTTTATATCGCTTAGGAGTTTGAACTATAAATTAATTTTTGTTTGCTAACAAACAGTAGAAATAAACATCAGGATAAGCGGAATGATGGGATCGATAGTATCAAAATGAGAAATAGTTGCAACGTGTCTTAAATCTTCCTATCTTCAGCTAGCCTACAGAACTCAATTCAATTTCTTATTAAATATACTATGAAGAGATCATAAGCTGAACCTATTGCTGCTACATCTGAATTTCAATTTCAATTTAAATGCTGCAAATATTGTGAAACCTGAAGATTCCGAAGCAGATTGGATTTATCTAGCGCATGCTCGCTCGATTACTTCATAGCTCAAAATTTTATAGATGGCGATGGGACCGATCATCAATCCCCATGGTGAATTCACGTATTAGGGGATGAAGATGGTTAATATCTACCATCTAAGAAAAATCTAATGGTCCAAAACACATCACTATCGGGGATGGCCGGCAGGGAGGCCGCTCCACTCCCACCCTAAGTCCCTATCCCTCGCGGTGACCCGCATGCATTGTAGCTAGGGACCAATTATAGACTTTATTAGTCGTTTTGGCTATAAAATTGAAGCCCAATAACCAGATATGTATAGCTTCTAACCCTAGTCAACGTCAACCCTCCCCTTCCCCACATTTCTCCAATCTCCACCTCCACCGCGCCGCCGCCGCCGCTCCAGAGTCCAACGCGCGCGCCGCCGGCCGCCGCCTCCCCTTGCGCCGTCGCGCGGGCTCGGTCCCGTCCCCAACCGTCGACGAGCGCGCGCCGCCGGCCGCCGCCTCCCCTCGCGCAGTCGCGCGGGCGCGCTCCCGTCCCCACGAAACCTTATCTCTCTCTCTCTCTCTCTCTCCCACGAACGCGACGACTTCGATCTCAACCCCACCCCATGGCTAGCGACGAGCTCCCCGTGGCGGCAGCGGCAACCGAGGAGGAGGACCTCGTGGAGATCCTCGACGAGGGGTCAGGCCGGCTCGACATCGCACGGTACGTGGACCACGTCCGCGACCTGGCGGCGGGCGCCATCGCCACGTTCGAGGGCACCACCCGCGACAGCTTCGAGGGGAGGCGGGTGGTGGAGCTCCGGTACGAGGCGTACGGGGCCATGGCGCGGCGCCGGCTCGCGGCCATCCTCCGGGAGGCCCGCGCCGCCCACTCGCTGCGGCGGCTCGCCGTGGCGCACCGCCTCGGGACGGTCCCCGCCGGCGAGGCGAGCGTGTTCGTGGCGGCGTCCGCGGTGCACCGCGCCGACGCGATGGAGGCGTGCCGCTACGTCATCGACGAGGTCAAAGCGTCCGTGCCCATCTGGAAGAAGGAGGTGTACGACGACGGCGAGGTCTGGAAGGAGAACCGCGAGTTCCTCGACCGCACCACCACCGACGGCACCACCGCGTCGTCGCCGGCGCCGGCGACGCGGCCGGCGAAGGGCGGCGGTTGCTGCGGCCGCAAGGTGAGAGTCAACGAGAGCTGATGCCAACCGCCGGATCGCAATCGGACGGACGTGGTTTTTTTTATTTTTTTATTTTAAAGAGAAGAGAAGGAACTACTTGTATCATGTGATTGTGTAACCGGAAATTAAATTCCGTGAGAAAATAATGAAACACGCAATGTCTAAATTTAAATTTCAGAAGCAAATTCCACCAAACGTCATAATTGTACCATCAACTTTGCCAACTGAGCACAACAAATCAATGGTTGCGTAGTTTATCTGCCTTTATTTTTGTTTTTCCTAACGAAGAAGCAGAGTAGCTGTCGCATTCGCACGGGAGTCACAAAGATGATCACAAATAGTAGTGGCTATTAATTGCTTCGTTTGATAGATTTGACAAATTTTGCGATATTCACATATGACTCATGTAAATTTTGCTACTAATGACAGTTTAATAGTAGTGACATAACTTTGTGGTATTTCACATTCTTTGCTGAGACAAGGCCACGTGATTGCCCAAGATTCAGTTGATACTTTGTGCAAGCCATCATTGCTGCATGAATAACCCTCTTTTTAACACGAGAAAATTGCAAAAAACACACCAGATATCACCTTGAGTTTGAGATTCCTCATATACGACTATTGTTGCAAATACTTCCTCCTAATTCTGACATTTCTCTCCAATTAGCATTATTAACGTGCTTTTTTTCCAGTTTCAGTGTTGTACAGTAGGAATTAGCGTATTTGTTGATAAACATGTCAATAAACACATTTTCGAAGCAATAGAATCACATCTAACTCATCTTTCTCATTGAATTTGTCAAAGATACCAACCACCTAACCACATGAAGCGAGCACAAAAGCTCATTTTCGACAACCCCGATATCAGAGCAAAGACTCGATATAAAACGGAGGGAATAGTAAATAAGAACCCATCATATATATTGAATTTTTTTTAAGCCTCAAAAGCCAATGGGTTATGAATTTACGATAACCAGTCTTGACAATATATATATACAACATCAAATTGGATCGCAAGCAATTACATCCGAGATATGCAACGGAGCTAGAAGATTTTGCTTGTTTTTTTAGGTATAGCCGAGTAATATTTGTACAGGGCGATCAATATATCTGCAGCATGTATAAGAGTTTCCTGCCATGTTCTCATGCACGCCTCTCTGAGCGAAGACGATTACAATACTCTCCAAGAGCCCAGATGGGAAATAAGTTGCGGTAGTTGGGGTAATTGAAGAAGAGGGAGCAATTGAAGCATCCAACGTGTTCCTAACATCAGTACAGGAGCACAAGCAACACATGAGATAGATCTTAAAATGTTCACACAAGTAATGCTGAATCACCTTAGAACATCCCCAGGAGTTAAACTAGGCCATCTAATTAGTTTCTTTTCAAGTTTCCACAATGACAGTTAAAGATGGAATTGTATGTGTTAAAATCCTTGTACAGAAGGTACTGTATGGTATATCAGTTTGTTACTACAGTAAAAAATATATCGTCGATGTCCTGATTTTTATCTAATGTAAAGACCATGGTTCTTTCCTAAAAACCACTTGATTTGTGCGAGGAAGGTTATAGCCTATATCATTTTCAGTATGCTAATTGAATTGCTAGATCATGGTTTGGTTCTTTTCTGAGCATGTAAACAGAACTGTATTGAGCAGTATAATGTAAAGTTTAGTCTAGTCATATTATGTATTAATTGATGACCATAGATCACATCAGAGAAGCTGGGGGAATTAAACCCCACTCCTGACATACGATGCACTGTATAACATGAACTTTTTTTTTCTTGTGTTGTTCGTCTCATTCCATAAAATTACAGTTGAATAACGAACTCAAGTTTTCCATGAATCGATATAAGACATATCCCCAATGGAACTTAAATGGGACTTACTTGTTGGGGAAACTCTCCTGTTTCTAACTGCATATTGATTAATTCTTTTGCAGCACAATGCAGCGGGGCTGGATCTCGCTCCATCTTACATCCAAATTAAATAGTTACAGAGATCATTTGATAAACAAGTTATTCCTATGAGAATTAAATTGACAATAAAAAAAATACCTGTCCAGCATAAATTAAAGTCAGCATTGCCCAAGCAGTATTCACTGCATGAGCATGATCACCTTTGATGTTTACATAAACCTGTTTGATATTATAAAAAAAAAGCAGTGGGGAAATCTGCAAAAGGTTGACATTTCCAAGAATTACCTTTTAATTTAATGGTGTATTAAACAAAACCTCAAAATACGTTAAAATTTGTAGAAATTTGCACTAGTCCAACTTCCCTCAAAAGATTTCTTCTGAATGGAAGTAGAGCTTGTTGCAAATGAAAAGTAATAACTTCAACATACACAACAAATCAAATGAATGGGCTGTGATTCAAACCCTATGCTAATTCAAGAACAAATATTTGCTTGAATGGCTTCCTTTGAGGGGTATGAACAAGCCCGCCCATGCTCAAGGCCTAAACTGAGCAGGGTACACACCATTACTAGGGCTGTGAGGTTGGTTCTACTATACCTTCAGTATGTCACTTCTAGAGAAGATTTGGGGATAAACAATGCTCAATTGATCTAGTCCCAAGGCAAAATATTGTGTACAAGGTGATGAGAAATTAACAAAACACCCCTAATATCCTTAACGCAGTAAATGCCAGTTCTAGTTGAATTTAAAGTCGTGCTTTAAAAAACTATGCTAATTAATCACCATTGTGTATCCTACATGCCAATTATCATAAAACTTCCAACCAAATGAACTACACAGGCTTATTCAACCATAAAAAAAATGAATGATGTTGAGAAAGAGAGAGAAAAAACTTACCTTAGTTTCATTAGAGACATGACTTTCTCCCCATCCACCAGTATTGAGCTGCTTTGACATTATAAAATCACATGCTTTCCTGATGGAAGAACTATTCTCATATGTTCTTCCAGCAGCAATTAACCCTTTTACTGAAAAGAAGGCCCCATAGGTGAAGCATACACCCCAAGTGCCTAACCTGCCAAACAACCAAGTTATTGTTAGACTAGAAGAGAGAAAAATTATCCACTGGTCAGTAAATGCTCTTTCTACAAACCATGAACCATCTTCGCCTTGTGTATTCTCAATAAACATTGTTGCGTTTCTAACACACTTCTCTATCTCTTCAGTACGGTAACCAGGGCACAGTTCTTTGAATAGCACCAAAGCTTGAAGCACTGAGGACGTGCATTCTGGATATCTGCCAAATTAAGTACAACGTGAGTTGCAAGGAGTTACTATATCTACAAAGTGAAATGGGTGCTTCACGGATTTTCTAAGCACAATGTTACTTGCATCACTTACGGATAATCGACCACCATGTTTGAAAAACTCTCACAAGGATTGAGAATCTAGGTTATAAAAGGAGAGGACATGTCAGGGTCCGCAATGGCAATAAGAACTTGAAATAAAACAGGTGATTTCTTCAATGTAAATGTACTGAAAATACATGACGTGCTAAATCAAATAGTAATGTTTTATAATTTGAAGTGCATGCATGTTGCTGATGTTATTTTAACATCATAAAAAAGTTTGATTGTGCTATGAGTTATGACGTAGGCACAATCATTGAGTTCTTTTCTGATGTATGTTTATAAAGCATATCGGGGCGATAGTGTGCAGAAACTCACCTCTATCCAAGTAGAAGTTCTTTTACATTCATATGTAGAAACGGTACCATCTTTGTTCTGCAAGGAAAAATTAATACGTTGAGCAGATGGTTTTCACATCTTTAAACCATGACAACTAAAACTTTCTGAAGGAATCTCCCCGGACTAATGAGACTTTTTTTTTAAACCGAAGGACTAATGAGACTATGAGAGCACAATCACCATTTTTAGTTCGATTTTTAACATTTTGGCCACATAAAGTTGGCAACAAGTTGTGCAAGTTCTGAGCTTGGATTTGGATTTCACAGCTGCACCCATACTGAGTTCCAGACAAAGGTTATGTAACATATTTAAGCCCATTGTCCCTGTAAGTCTGGTGCGACAGACTCCTTTAACCTCTCCTGGTTAGCACAACTGATAACAGTATACGAGATATAGTTTCCACAATATCACGTATGTGGGCTACTCTGAAAGGAAATTACAAGATCAGGTTTGATAGCTGTATTTAAAAAAAATGCATACCACAAAAGATAGGAGGCAATCGACAGCATCATGCAGCCTTTCTCTTTCAATGGGATCCCCAACCACGTTAATAGATATCTTTGTCAGCAACAATACAGCCTGGAAATGAAATTATGTCAGATTTCTACGGAAGACAGCGTAGAAATTATGCATGAGCTTATTCGATGTGCTATCACCTATTAGGACTAGATTAATATGACACTAGTTTTATACTTCATTTGTCTACATTAGTAACAAAAAGGAAAGAACAAAGAAACATAATGACCTTCAGTGCTTCTGCTGTAGTGTCAGACACAGCCCATCCATTGTCTGCAGATGAAAGAGTCCAAGAACCCTTTGATCTATGGCGATGCCAGTAACTTTGGTCACCAGGATGATTCCTAACAACCTTCAAGAAAGAATATGCAATATATGCTGGATTATCTTATAAAGTAGTTAATTTATGATTTAGATTATTAAACTAGAGATTCTGTACCTGTGAATTTTTCAAGAACTCATGGGCTCTCTGAACAGTAGAAGCATACTCATTTACAAGATCAGTAGCACAAAACGCTTGAATTATAAATGCTGTCTCCCAGCTCTGGCAACCATCATATACCTATCATTGAGATAACAATCTATCACAATTTTTTTCCTTGAATAAATAGATAATTTTGTAGAACGAAAGGCGTGTCATGTTTAAAGATTTAGCTTTATTCCTACCATACCAATTGATATTTCTACTGATGTACCCCCTAATTATGCAATTGAACATCACTGGAAGTACAATAATTCATAGGTCTGTCCTGGTTCCTCCAAATTTAATGAAAACACTAGATAGTAATAGGAAAATTTTCCTAGATGTAAAACATTTGTCAAAGTTATGGTAGTACCGACAGTAGACGCATTAACCATGTTACATATTCAATTTATGCATGAAAGACACAAAAGTTAATAACCTGTGCCTTCATGCCATCTTCTGAAAGCCACAAGAAATCAGGTACTCTCGCAAGATGCTGCTTGAATGCGTCTGAATTGGGATCTTCCGCCCAGCAGCAGACCATGTTTAGAGCCTGAATGTTGTTAAAAAGAATCAATAAGAAGACAGATATCAGTTGATATATCCAAACAATCTGAATCCTGATATGTCTAGCTCAAATCTGACATACCCTAGTCCCTCCAGAATCAAACTAACAGTCAGCACCAATGCACCATACATATCTAATAAACGATATGACCATAAAGAGGAGGAGAAGAATAAATTGAAGCTACCTTGTTGACAGAGCAAATGCAGAGGTACTGCGTGTTCTCGTCTTCGTAGTGGATGTGCCATGAGCCTATCCAAAGCTCTCCCCCTCAGCTTGCTCATCGCCCAGCTGCTCATCACCGGCTCCACCCACTTATACAGCCAACTCCACACCGCATTCTGCAGCCGCGTCCGCGGGCAGACCAGATCCTCCTGCCATCACCAACACCCAGAGATCATTACGAACAATTAGAGGAGAGATACAGGGACGATGGTGGAGGAACGGCGCCGCCGGAAGGAGGCGCGTAGAGCCACCCGCACCGCGCCGTCGCCACCGTCGCCGCCGCCGCCGTCGCGGCCTCCCCACTCTACCACCTCCTCGCGGGGAATTTTTTTTATTTATAATTTTTTTTATTAAAAGTTTTACAAAAATAATTTTCCATTTTGAAAATTGACGGAAGTAGTTGCCTACCGCCCTCTGGGAGGGCGATTTTAGGGCGAAAATGACGTGGCAGACGGCCGTTCGCTCTCGGGCGACGGCCGTCAACGAAATTTGCAGGCGGCCCCCTTGCCGTCCTCCGCTAGGGCGATTTTATACTGTGCGGGGGGCCGCCTGCAAATGGGCGGCGAGGGGGGGCATGGAATTTTGCAGGCGGCCCCCTTGCCGCCCTCCGCTAGGGCGATTTTGTACTGTGGGGGGGGCCGCCTGCAAATGGGCGGCGAGGGGGCATGGAATTTTGCAGGCGGCCCCTTTGCCGCCCTGGGGGAGGGCGATTTTATACTGTGCTCTATATTTTTGTATAAATATCAATAGTTATCAAATCTTTTTATAGTGAAAACTATACAAGATTAAAATCTCCAAGACTGGTAAAATACAATTTTATTATTTTTTAGGGCATATTTGGATTGTTACCGTACAAATATTTTGTTAGTGCCAAAATATAAGCAAGTTTTGGCACTACCAAATATTTGGTAAGGTAAAATTGCATTTGATCATATTTGGTTTGCTGCCAAAATGTAAAATTGTAGTGAAGAATGTTCTACATAATCTCAAATCTAGATTACGTATTACCAATGAATAGGCTTCCATTTTTGTGTGTGGTGTGCTAGTGGGAAAGAAGATATGAAGAGGTTGCCTTCAGATTGTCAATTATATAGCGTCGTTTTCACTGCAATATATGTGAACTCAAAGAGATACATTATTCATTAGATGTGACAAGACGATCACGCGTGGGCGTGATTCACTTTATGTCAACAGGCAGCGCCGAAAGTTGATAGTGATAACTCGAGCTGCCGCTTTTCATGTGTGCTGTTGTGGACTGTGCGCGCTACTGGATCTGACACTACCGTGAAGCGCCGAAAGTGTGTTGTCGTGAGCATAAGTTGTTCTAGCACCATATGAATGAAAAGAACTATATAGACGAGACAAACACAAGTAGTACTGCAGTAGTAATAGCAAAAGTAGTACTGCTTTACAAGTTTGTAAGACAAAAGAAACGGTCACATAAGGACTGAAGAGGTAGAACACTACTGACGAGGCCTCTTACCCCTGTCCCTCCTACCCTGCGCCCTAATGTGCCCCTGGGAGTACGTGAGTCGGTCCGGGGGTACGGCACGGCCAACCCGTCCTGCCTGTACAGGTGTGACCTCTGGCTGCTCCTGAGTGTGCGCCTCTGGAGCTCCTCCAAGCTGAGAGGAGCCTAGTACGTCGTGGTGGTGTGCACCGTGCAAGTCGTCGTCGTAGAACTGGCTAGTAGGACCAGTCCTACCGGCGTGAGACGAAGAGGCCCTAGTACCGAAGATCCCGGCTGCAAATCCTGCTGGACAAGGACCATCAGTTTCGTACAAGTATTTAACAGTAGTAATAAAAAGTAAAGTACCGTGTGGGCGAGGGATCGACGCTCCGTGAGAGGAAGAGCTGGCGAACGCGCCCGAAGAGGTGGCGAACGCCCCTGCGGAGCTCGCGGAAGCGCCGGTCGTGCCTGCGAACGCGCTCGAAGGCAGACGAGGTCCTGCGATGAGGAAACGTGCAGTTAAAACATGGTGACATATTCGTGCAAAAGCTGAAACAAAAATGAACTAATATCTGGGCTGAACTGTACCGTGCGAAACCGGTGCTGTAGGTCGCACTGCTCCGAAGCTAGGGGCGCTTGAAGGCAAACGAGGTCCTGCGAGGATGGAACATCAAGTTACGACGGGGTGATGTTTTCGTAGAAAAACAGAAACAAAACTTAAGAAACCTCTGGGCTGAGCAGTACCGTGCGAAACAGGTGCCGTAGGTCGAGGTCCTGCTCCGACGGTAGGCGCGCGAGGCCGTGGTTGTACCGGACCAGCTGGAGGTACGACGTCCACGGCGCTGCGACAGGAGAAGATGCGCATGACCACACGCATCTTCTCCTGCATCCGGTCGAAGGTCACCCTCTGCTCAACGTCAGTCAAGTGCAAACCTCTGTTCAACCTCACTTGGACTGCGGTGATATCGGCACTGATATCCCGTGCGTCATCAGCCTATGCAAGATGGAAATAAAAAATTCAGTAGTTGTCCTATATTATGCAAGATAAATGAAATAATTGTAAGAAGTAATACAAATTGGACGTACCGCCACGAAGTAGTCTCGGTCACGGTGCGTGGGATACGCGTCCGTGACAGCGGCAACGTGCGGCTCTGGGGCGTCTGGAGTGAAGGTCACACGCGCACGAGTGCGAGGAAGGTACCAACGAAGGTAGTCACGGTAGTTCTCCTCCGTGTGTGGGAAGAGCTCGTTGATCACCTCCTCTGTAGCTAACACCCAGTCGTCAACGTACTGCTGTACACGTGGAGCCCAAAGTGCGCCTGCTAGCTGTCCCCGTCGAGTCAACCTGTGAAGAGAGGTAAATTATATGGCTCGATGAAGTAATTATCATAAAAATTTAGAAATGAACAATCCGAACTCACGAGTGGTCGGCAGGGAGGACGGTCGGCTGCACGTTGCCCGGAAACACCTGCCTAAGTCCGAACTGTCTCATCACACGCTGCGGGCAGTGAGGCTCAACGAAAATGTCGAACACCATCGGCAGGATGGTGAGCCAGTAAGCCTGGTCGCGTGTGCACAAGGACGAAAGTCCTAGCGGTGCTCTCGCAGCGACGGCCTCTTCTGTGTACGGCTCCCAGATGACGTCGCTCGGCTGGAGACGGTCAAACTCGAACACGAAGTCCGGGTAACCACGTCTCACCTGGACGTGAGCGTAACGACGCTGCAATAAACATGATCGGAATTAGACATGTTATGTGAAGAAAAAAAAAGACGACTGATAAACTTATAACGCAGCGAAGTTGCACTAACCCCACGTCGACACCAGTAAGTCCCCATCGTGGGACCGTCCTCTGGCCACTGCGCGCTGCGACCAACCCCGTAGGGTGCGCTGTCCACCACTGGTCGACCTATGGCAAACCTCTCGGCTGCCCAAAGCTGAAGCAACATAGGGCAGCCAGCGATGATCGCTCCCGCGTCAGTCTTCGTGCACGCCTCACAGAGGGCACGGTACGTGGCTGCTAGCACGGCAGAACCCCAGCTCCACTGCGGCACGTCCTGTGGCTGAGCATCCGCGATGGACCGTGCGTAGTGGACCAGCCGGAAGTCCACAGCGTGCCCGTGGGTGCTAGTGAACATCACCCACCCGAACAACCACAACAGGTACGCCTCAAGGGAGCGTCGGACCGAGTAATCATCAGCGTCAGGGTGCAGAAGGTCCGCCTACAATTAAGAATGAAATGTTAGTACAAAACACTCATCCGGTCGCAAATAAGCACGTATGATAATAACAACTTATTTACTTACAGTGAACTGGAGCAACCAAGCCTTGCTAGGCCCGACTGTAGAGTACGGAGGAAGGGTGTTGGTCGGTCCTAGGTGTGGAAGGCGCATCACCTGCTCGAAGCGCGCAGTGATATCCTCCTTCCACCCAAAAACACCGTCCACGGGACCAACTGGTGCTCCCGCCAGCGGTAGCCCGAGCAGGTACGACACGTCCTGCAGTGTCGGAGCCATCTCCCCACAGGGAAGGTGGAACGTGTGCGTCTCAGGTCTCTAGCGGTCTACAAGAGCGGCAAGGAGTGACCGGTCTGCATCCCACCGCTTCGCTGGGTCACGGTCGTCCGCCGCCGCCTCAACAAGCCTACAAAGTGGTAGAAGGCCTGCCGCACGCAACCTGTATAGAGCAAACTTCAAACATAAGTACAACACAAAGCAAAGTTGAGTTGAAATGTGAACATACGCGTACCAAGGAACGTGACGGGGGTCGACACGCAACCACTCGCGCGACGTGCGTGGACGGAAGGTGCCGAGCTGTGCACCCTCGACTGCTGACAGGAACGAGCGGTGGTTCCTGTCAATCCCACGGTTCAACAGCGCCGGTGTGTCGTACGCCATACCTTCATCAAATAGGTTGATCAGAAACATATAAATAATTAGTTCAACATAAGTAATAAATGTTCATAAGCGAATTACTAACACATATTAAACAAGAGTACAAACAAACAAAAGTGTTTAGTCCGAACACTCATCACGATAACATTATGATACAACACCGAATAGTTCGCAATACTACTAGTATAACAATAGTCGGAGGTACTCATTACAACAACATTGAATTGAAATTACACGATAGAAGTATTTAGTCCGAACACTCATTACATCACAACAGCATTTTATTTCCTAAATCGAAAGCTTTGTTACACCATGGAATCGCCTGCTGCGCGACGACACCTTGGCCTTGCGCGCCTGCTTGTTGTTCCTTCACCAGGTGGTCGCCTACCATCACTTGCCTGTCCAGATGGACTAGCATCTGCGCCGCTTGGAACTTCTGCATTCTTCGGGCATTTCTTGTAAGTATGGCCGCGCAGATCACACTTGCTGCAGCGTAAAGTCCTCCCACCTGCTTCTGACTCATCCATATCATTTCTGATGCGTCTAGTTTGGCGTCGACCCTTTTTCACCCTTAACTTAGATGGATCTGGAATATAAAAAACTTGGGCACTCAGCGTTGTGTAAGATCCTGAGATCCCGAACCCATATATCTCCTCACTCCATGTATGAAAGATTGCTTCTTTCCTGAAATAATTTGAGACGTACACATTGGGAGATATGCCACAATCACCGGCAGCAGCAAGAACGTGTGAGCAAGGAAGGTGATGAAGCTTCGGCTTCATACAACTGCAGGTACATCCACCATCCGCCTTCAAGACACATTCCTGCACGGCTTGCTTGCGATAGATACCACGCCTGCTCCTATCAACACACATTATTTCATACCGATGCACTTGTGTGCCTTGAGCAACAACTCGATGTCTCCGTGCCTTTTTGATTTTATCTTCCATGTACTTTGTCACTATGTTGCCAAACACTATGTTGTTATCGGCCATGGACGGACCAATTTTCTTGTATCGATCCCTAAAGTACGCTTGCGTGCCGTGAAGGATGAATTCAACAATAGCAACCAATGGAAGTACCCGAACTCCTCGCATTACCCAGTTGTACACCTCTACCAAATTGGTTGTCATTATGCCATACCGAGATCCATCGGTGTCGAACAATAGAGACCACTTCTCCTTAGGCTCATTCTCAATCCACTGAGTGAAATTTCTGATGGACGACCCTGACCTCCTTCTCATTGTTGGTGGGTCATCATGTAATGCACCAAGAGGTATGGGAGGCTCGTCACATTCAACTAGTGGTCTGCGAGATTGCTCATCTGTTTGCTTCGTTGTCAACTCATCCAACTTGTCCCACAACTAATTAAATTTCTTCTCTTGGTTCTGTGCACAGAGCCTCTTAAAGAGCTCCATAAGATGCTTGTTCTTGAATTGCTTGTAGAAATTTGCACCCATGTGACGCATGCACCACCGACTCCGAACATCAGGCCACTTAGCTGGAAGTCCCTTCTCATCCCAACCGTTCTGCAAGTAGTCAATAGCCCGCAACATACCCGCATGACGATCATGTATAAGGCAAACATTGGGCCTCATACGCACCACTGCAATGTGCACTCTCTCTAGGAACCAGTACCAGCTTTCAGTGTTCTCACTCTCTACAAATGCAAAAGCCATAGGTAGAACCTGGTTGTTCCCATCACACCCAATTGCTGTCAATATCTGACCTCGGTATTTACCTGTCATAAAAGTTCCATCTATGCATAGAACAGGTCGACAATGCACAAAAGCATTGATGCAAGCACCCAATGAGAAAAAGGCTCTTTGCAGCATACTCTTTGTTCGATCATCAACCGATGTAAATGTATGTAGGTCATAGTACGTATCATTATTCCTCTGGGCAATGGTGGCTAACAAACGAGGCAAATTATCATAAGAAGCTTCAAATGTGCCATACCTCATCTCAATGATCTTTTGTTTGGCTCTCCAGGCCTTTGCATAGCTTATGGTGTACTTGAATTTGTTCTCGATGTGCCTAATAATTGATTTTGGTTCAAAGACAATGTTACCAACAACACTGCTGTACATCTCACTTGCCACAAAAGCTGAAGTGATATTTCGGTGATACTTCTCCACCCCTTGTAAGTAGCACTTGTGCTCGGTCACAATGCTAACTTTCCAATAATCATTCCATTTACCCTTATATGCATGGACACGCCACGGACAATCTTCCTTCATGCACCTCACTTCATACACATAATTTGTTGACTTGACCACCCTAAACTCTCTCTGCAAGGAAACTGCCCAATGCTTCACCGTCTCCTTCATCTCATCCTTATGAGCATACCTTGCACCCTCAATTACCTCGTTCTCCTTATACTCCCAGGGTACATGATCACCCTCTGATATAACAAGTCCAGAGAAGTCCTCATTTGCCCAATCAGTGGCCATTACATCACCTTCCTCATCGGATGATGCGTCGTCGTCCACTTCCTCATTATCCGAATCTTCCCTCTCCATTTCATCAACAATTATACCGACTCTCTCCCCCTCATCCGCCATGCCCATAGCCTGTTCCTCCCTTCGTTGATTTTCCTCATTTTGCATCGATGGTCCAACAACATCCCTTGCATTGATAGGACCCTCTACATCTTCGGTTTGCATTGAAACATTTATATCTTTCTCTTGTACCGACACAAATATAACGAGGGGCCATGACCGTTCAAAAGCCATTTCCACATACCGTCTCCAAGCATCAGTGCTGTCCATCGGCATTAGTTCCCAAAAATAACCTTCTGTTGCACGACTCACTACAACTGACACTGACATTGTGTAGACTTCTTGGTCTATTCTAAATCCTCTCAACAACCAACTATAAATTGACTGAAATGTTCTCTCCGCAGGCCTATCGATGCCCTTAGATGTCATTACAAAATCTGACAGATCAACACCATCTGGACCAAATCTAATATTTCCTTCACCGTGAACTATCTGAAATGTGACCTTACTTGACATTGTGCCTGATGAAAACAATAACTGTGTTAACCTCGCATTTCTGTACTACGCCCTAAGTTACATTCTCTACAATATTGTTCTCTAAATTTCTAAAATTACGTTACATTCTTCAGATCAAACTAAACTACATCTTACAATTAACACTACTGTCTATGTCTCAATTCATACTATTATATTCTATGCTCTGGATCTACACATATGTGCTGTGTGCTACAGATGTGCTAAAATATATGGAACTAAAACTAAAACGCAACATATATACTCAAACATAACATATTAGTACAAATGCAAAAGATGTATGGGAGCATACCTGTGATGAATTGAGCGAACCAGCAGGGCTTCGCCGCTCCCCTTCTGCTGCCCTCCCCTCTCTCTCTTTCGTTTTTTTTGGATTTTTAGTGAATATAATGAAATTTCACAGAGGAGGGACTGGGCTTTATAGGGGGGAGGCAAAAATCGCCCTCCCCTAGGGCGGCAAGGGGGCCGCCTGCAAAATTCCATGCCCCCTCGCCGCCCATTTGCAGGCGGCCCCCTCCACAGTACAAAATCGCCCTAGCGGAGGGCGGCAAGGGGGCCGCCTGCAAAATTCCATGCCCCCCCTCGCCGCCCATTTGCAGGCGGCCCCCCGCACAGTATAAAATCGCCCTAGCGGAGGGCGGCAAGGGGGCCGCCTGCAAATTTCGTTGACGGCCGTCGCCCGAGAGCGAACGGCCGTCTGCCACGTCATTTTCGCCGCCCTCTGAGAGGGCGATTTTTAAAAATCGCCCTCCCAGAGGGCGGTAGGCGACTACATTCGTCAATTTTCAAAATGGAAAATTATTTTTGTAAAACTTTTAATAAAAAAAATTATAAATAAAAAAAATTCTCCTCGCGGGGCACTCCTCCCCCAACAAGAAGCCCAACAAATTCGGCCCGGCCCAAAAATTACCTTGGCGCAGGCGCTGCGGGCCTGGGCCCAATCGATTGTGAGGTAGTGGGCCGAGTAAATCTCCTCTCGCAGCGCCAGGATGGTCGGCGCGGTGGGGCCCACGAACTTCTTGCCGTATAGGTAGGCCATCGGCAGGTATACCATGCGAGTTAAGCACCAGAATTTGCCTGCACAAAAGTAAATTCAGTTCAAAATTAAAGAATTTTCATGAACCTTAAGTCTGATATAAACTCCAGGCATTGCCATTAAACTGTTTTTGATTTGTGTGCAACTAGCTACTATTTGATGTAGGAGTATACAGTATGATTATTACTAGTATATATATACCTGGATGAAAAGGAAGAAATTGTGGGGTCAGCCATAGCTCAGGGAAGATGGGGTTGTTTCCTGCCCACTCGTACACTCCAAGTATCTGTAGTGAATCAAATTAATTTGTCCGAAATCAATCAACGCGTTATATTATAAGTCGTTTGATTTTTTTCATAATTAAACTTTGTCAAGTTGGCCCAAATTTATAGAAAAATTTAACAACATCTAAAATATCAAATTAGTTTCATTAAATATAACATTGAATATATTCTGATAATATGTTTGTTTTGTGTTGAAAATACTACTAAATTTTTATATAAAATTGGTCAAACTTAAAGAAGTTTGACTAGAAAAAAGTCATATGGCTTATCTATACCTAATAAGAAAAATAAGTAAGGTTTCCTGTTCTCTTTCCGTCCGTTTTTTTCTTTTTTCGCTGTTTTTTCTTTTTTATACCTATATATATAATAATTAAGGTTTCCGGTTCTCTTTTTGTCCTTTTTTCTTTTTTCGCTGTTATTTTCTTTTTTCCATCTTTTTTCTTTTCCTCCGTCCCTTTTTTTTTCGGGCTTAGGTTTTTTTCCGCCGTTTTTCTTTTCTTATTTCGTTTTTTCTCCTTTCTTTTTGCCTTTTGGGCTTTTTTTTTCTACCTTCCCTCTAATCAGGGTTCAAAATTTCGGAACGAAATTTACGAAATTTCGGGTCTATTGGTGGGTCCTGATAAACATGAGCTCCGGTCAAAAATTTCGGCAAAACAATGTTCATGGTAAAAATCCTCAATTTCCTATCCCCTCCTCACTTATATACCAAAGGCTGCTGCTGCTTCGCTATCCTCCGACAGCTCGCCCAGCAGGCAGCAGGTCGCCATCCTCCCAAGCTAGCGAACAGCGGCCGCGGCGGTGGCCGGAACCGGAGGCGGCGGGTTGGTTGGAGTGGCCGGCGGCGTCTCCGTGGCTCTTCGGCACCACGACGACGATACAAGCCGCGGGCCTCGCATCCTCCGTTTGGCTAGAGTTGCCGCTGGCGGCTCCATCGCTCTTCGGCAGCACGACGATGACCGGACGACGACACAAGCCGCACAAGCCTCGCATCCTTACGTGTTACTGTGTTTCAATCTCCTGTTCCTCTGCTTTGGATTGAATAGACTCGATGCTCATCTATACTCTGATCTTGGTAAAATTTCTTTATTTTTATTGTTTAAATTCAAATTTTGTTTGAAAATTCCGTTCGAAATTTCTGAAAGATTTTCGAAATTTCGGTGACCCCTGAAATTTTTCCCCTTCCCGATAGATTGAACCCTGCCTCCAATTCTTACCCAGGCAAATGATTATCTCGGTTGAAATTTTCGATTTTTCTAACTTTTTTGTGAATTTAGTCAAATTCAGTTAAATTGTGTTAAAATTTCAAAAAATGGTCTAAAAAACGCCGAAAATCCCAAAAATCCAGAAATTTCGTTTCTACCAAAATGGCCGAAATTTTTGGCGCGAAAGTGAAAACCTTGTACTATAAAACCAATCGTGTGAAAGTACTTTAATTAAAATATGAATCGGTTGGTACGATTAGAAAGTGCTAAATATACCTATCATTTAGTTAACCATTATATTAGTCATGTTTATATAAATCAAGATGTTTCGAAAGTAAACTGAACCCTACAAAAATCAACGAAAGCAATTGTTTAGCAAAATTCATTATTGTGTGGATTCATGCGATAATATAGTAGACAGACCGAGAGCCATATCTTTCCCCATTGTGGAACAAAGGTAGTGCCGCCATGCAATATGATCCATATGCGCCCTTTGGCTAATTGCTCATTGCTTGTCTCTTCACCGAGAAGCCTAAGGGTGATATAGTTTGAACATGTGCCAAACATGGTGCTCGAGCTCAACATCAAACTGCCCCATCCACCATCCTCGTTCTATATAACACATGCATGTGCAGAATTTGCAGTCACAAAATATGGAAAATCAAATGTTTTTAAAGTGAATTTCACAAAATTACATATTCTCTAACCAAGCTATTATAAAATTATATATTTAAAATGGTGTATCATAAAACTATAGAATTAATATTAAATTTATCGCGGAATTGCAGATTTAAGAGCGAGTATCATAATATTATAGATTTAATAATAAAGTTATCACAAAATTATAGGTTTAGCACCAAATTCATCATAACTTATTACTCTAATATAATAATATATAGTTCGAGTAATTTAAATAAAACCTATAGTCTTGTGACAAAAACATTATTAGATATGTACTTTTGCAATATTTTAATGATAATTTTGATGGTAAATTTGTGTTTTGTGATACGTTATCTTAAATCTATAGTTTTGACACAGTTTGGTTAAGTTATATGTAGTTTTGGGAAATTTACTCAGTGTTTTTTATACTAATGACATTTAATTGTTACTTAGAAAAATATGCTTATATTTTGTCTGAGCAAATAAGTCTGAACTCGTGCTTTAATTTATGCAAACCACCCATTTTTGTTTTTATAAACATTCGTACTGCAAGTACTGGAGTAACACACGTTCTTCTATAATTAAAATTATTAAACCATGAATACATGAGCATATTATAATTATTTTATGGTCAGTCGTCCATATATACGGAAAAAAATATGCCTGATGGTTATAGATATAGCGACATATCTCCCGCCGATGCTCTGGTGATATGATAGTGTCCAGTGATCCAGTGACATATAAGGCAAATATCTGCATTTATTTGTACAGAAATTAGCTAGATCACCAGAAATTAAACCACGAAATAGCTAAGCATAAATTATTTAGCCAGAGACAGATACAATTTAAATATACTACCAAGCCAGGCATGATGAACATAACACCACTGAAGTCTCCAGGCCAGTGTCCGTCGTCTGCTTGCAGAGAAGAGAACTCGTCGAGAGCTCGTCTCAACGAAGCCATGGCGATTTCTTCAGTCACCTCCTCCTTCTCTCCAAGCTTATTATTGACGGGTGGAATACGATAACGACGACGTTGATGCTTGTTTTGCTATGCAAATTGCAACACAAAAGGAAATGAAAATAACACCGTATGAAATGAACGAAACCCTGCAACAAAATCAAATGAAAGCGAACACACCGTACAGTTTCATATTGGGGTAAATTGCGTTTCTCAAAAAGTATTGGAGTAAATTGCAGTTTAACTAATAAGTAATTATTATATAATATATACAAATAAGAGATATAGAACCATTCGTGTTTATTACTCCCTTTTTTCTTTAATATATGAGGTGGTTATTGATTTTCGAAAGATACAGAGCCATTCGTGTTTATTACTTCCTTTGTTCTTTAATATATGAGATTATTGATTTTTAAACATATATTTGACCGTTCATAATGCTTTCTCTCTCTATATATAAGTCGTTCTTAATGTACTGCAGTGATGATATAACCATAACCAAAATAGAAGTATATAACAACTGAATACTTTTATTAATAAACGAATAGCGACATTATATATTTAAAAAACTAAGGGATGAATGAGCGTATGTAATTAATATATACTTGCATGCGCATGAGGAGGTCAGCTGACTCCCGGTGGTGAAGGCGGTGGTCGGTGAACTCACGGCGCACCCTCTCGACGTCGGCGCGGTCCTCCGGCGTGCCGTGGTCGGGGTCGAACTCCCACACCGCTCGCCCAAGGAAGCCATTCGTCGACCGCAGCAACGGCGTGCCACCGCTCTCCGCAACCTTCAACCTCCACATGGCCGCCGCCAGTCAGTCAGCCAATCAACTCGCCGGAGATGGAGAAGAATGGCCACCTAACTAGCTCCAGCTAGCTAGAGCACAGGTTTTGGATTAATTTGCTCCTAGGCAAGGCATAGCAATACCTAGCTACTCACATATGGCTGGCTTTTAAAGGGGAGGACCTTGGCGCCAAATGATGCCACGTGGGATAACTACCATTCGCAGTGTGTCCCACTGTAATGCTGTGATGAAATAAGTTAATTTGTACGAGATTTGATATTTTCTAGCACTACGTACGAATCTGTACAGACGTCGTAGTGCTAGAAAATGTCACATCTTATATTAGATTAACTTATTTTAGGATGGCGTAGGAGTCCATGTCATAAAATTGTAAAACCCGATTTGACAAAAGTTTGCTTACTGTTCATATTTATTTTAAGAAAAAGAGGCAGGACAGAACGAGTAGATTTTTTTCTATCAAATTAATCATGCGAATTATCTGCGGTCCAATCTGCCTGTCGACTGAAATTATAAGTAAATTTTCTGTCAAATCTGATAGGGAAGTTTATCTTCTATTGTTTTGTCCACGCAACATATTATAGCTATTTTAAACTTGTGCATGTGTGTCATTTAGATCCCCAAACTCTCAAAATGCATTTTCGGATCTCTAAACTTGTCTTGGATGTCATATAGGTCCAAACGAGCTACAACCCACTCTATGCGTTGATGTGGCATGCCACGATAGTGCCTACGTATTAGTTGGACCCACGTGCCAATCACATAGAAAAATAAAATTAAAAAAACATATTTTCTCCTCTCTACTTTAGATTTTTTTCTATCTACCTTATATGAGAAAATTATGGTTTTTAATTATATGGATTCCACTTACACGTAGGCACCACCGTGACAATACCACGTCAGGACATGGAGTGGGTTAGAACTCGTTTGGACCTATATAACACCCATGATAAGTTCAAATATCTAAAAATGCATTTTAGGAGTTTAGGGACTTAGATGACACACCCGCATAAGTTTAGGGACCGCCCATATACTTCACTCCTAAATAAAATCTCAATCGTCTCACTCTCACATGCATCACGCTCTGATTGTGTTGTGAAATCTAACTATTCAAGTATAAAGATAAAAATCAGTTTTCCTCAAAAAGAAAATGAAAATCCAGAGCGATAAGCTTTTACTAGATTTTTAAATTACAGTATCAGAACATACACATGTAGAAAATGAAAAGAGGTGCAAAACAAAGGAGTCAAATACACGGCAAGAACAAATAAAAGGGTGTATGGAACAAAGTAGCCATGAAACTTATAAAACAAATTACAGTGTGCAATATATATCTAGATATATATAGACGCAAAGAGAATCATTGCAGCGGAATTATTCATGTAAAATTCTTCATGCCCTTACCCTAGCTATTTAATTTGGGAAAAAGTACGAATTACCTCCCGAACTATCACGATCGACTGAATTACCCCCCTGAACCACAAAACCGGACATTCTTCACTCATAACTATGTAAACCGGACGAATTACCCCCCTCGACCTAATCCACGGTGATTTTGGTCTACGTGGTGTACGTGTAACAGTACAGTCAGCTTTCTATTTATAAAAAAGTAGTGGGGTCCACCTGTCATATCTTCTCATCTCACTCTCCGTCTCTCTCACTCATCCTCCCCCAAGCACGCGGGTCGAGCGGCAGCGGCGGCGCGCACGGCGGGCGGCGGCGTGGGACGGCGCGGACGGTCGGCGCGCGAGGGCCGGCGACGGGCGGCGTCGAGGTGGCGGCCGCGCGGGCGCAGGTCGAGCGGCGCGGGGGTCGGCGCGCGAGGGCCGGCGACGGGCGGCGCGAGGTGGCGGCCGCGCGGTCCCAGGTCGAGCGGCGCGGGGGTCGGCGCGCGAGGGCCGGCGACGGGCGGCGTCGAGGTGGCGGCCGTGCGGCGCTTGCGGTCGGCGCGCGAGGGCAGGCGATGGGCGGCGTCGAGGTGCTCGGCGATGACCTCCTCCGCCTCCCTTCCCCCGCTGCGCTGGTGCGTGCCACGCTCGCGGACAGGTCCTTCCGCGCTCGCCACCACACGCTGCCGATCTTCCTCTCTGCCGCCTTCGACTCCGGCCTCGTTCCTCACCTGCAGCGGCTGGGCCTTCGCCTCGTTCCTCCCAAGGCGCCGCGAAGAAGCTCGCAGTCGCCGACCCCGCACACCTCCCGTCCCCGCGACGTTGCCATCCTCCCATCCCCGCGCCGCCGCCCACCATGAGCTCCGGCTGCCTCCTCCGCGGGCGGCCAAAGGGAAGAAGAGGGCGGCGGCGGCTGGATTTAGGGGAACCAGCTCGCCTCCGTCCCCAGCCGCGCGAGCGAGCTCCGCCGCTGGCCGTCCGAGTACGCGCACGAGAGAGAGAGCGCAATGGGCTGGGAGAAGCTGGATGACAGGTGGGCCCAAGGGATTTTTTTTTTCTGATTAGGCTGCCACGTTGATGCCACATGTGATAGCTGAAATCAAAACCGCCCCGAACAGGGTTCAGGGATTGTTTGTCCGGTATATATAGTTTAGGGTGTAAAATGTCCGGTATTTAAATTTAGGGAATAATTCGGTCGACCATGATAGTTCAGGGGATATTTCATACTTTTTTCTTTAATTGTGGTCTTACAATTATTAGTACTGGCACATAAAATATACTGGCGATAAGGGCTATGTATACGTACTGGCGTATGTATATCTGCGGGCGTGTGTGTTTTATGTGATTGTAAGGAAAATCGATCATAAAAACTTATAAATTTCTAAGTAAAAGAATGAAATTAACCTAAAACATAATTTGTCTTTTTACTTTGGAATTATACAATGCAATCAATTCCTCCACTTAGGGCCCCTTTGATTTGTAGGAAAATGTAGAAATTTTGGAGGATTTCAATCCTATAGAAAAAAAATCCTATGAAAGCTTTGAAACAAAGGATTGAATTCTATCCAATCCTTTAAAATTCCTATGAAATGGGTAATCCTATGCATATATTGGAGGAAAGTTAGCAAGAGGTATAACCTCTTGGAACATTTCCTCTGAGTCTATCTTTCTCATCTGATTCCTGCGTTTTTCCTGTAGTCCAAAATAATGGCCATTCTGGTATTTTTCCTGTGTTTTACAGTTCTCTGTTTTACAATTGTATTCCTGTCAGAATCCTGTGTTTTTCCTATTTCTCTGTTTTTTTATTCCTATGATTTTAAATGGGCCCTTAATTTTTTCTTTTTTTTTCTCAACTATGAGAAGGGGTTCAGATATGGAAAGGAAAAAGGTTGAATTGAACAAGTGATGGGACTGACATGCTCTCTGTAGCGCCTAGCGGCAGTGAAAACATATGAGAATAATCTGAGAATTAAGCGAAGCATGCACGCCTAACATGCTAGCTTGGGGTGGTGTTTGAATCTCCTGAAGATAAAAATGAAGATTAAGTATTTCACGCAAAATGAGATGGTAGTAACGTGTGTTAATTAAGTTTTAATTATTACAAGTTTGAAAAATAGATTAATCTGATATTTTAGGGCAACTTTCATATAGAAAGTTTTCGCACGAAACACATCGTTTAGCAGTTTGAAAAGCGTGCCACGAGTATCCAAAATTTAATCCAACTCTTCTGGGAGAATCCAACGCAGCCTTTACACTGTATGATTTGCAGACCCGAAACCTGAAGATTATTTTACACTAGCCTCGGCTAGCTAGAATAAATCAAACGTCAAGAATTCCATGAATTTTGAGACTTTCGGTATAAATATGGAACAACCCACTTACATATACAGCGAGGACATTAATCTTTTAAGCCACAACTCTTATAACCGTGTTTACTCGTGGAGCTTTTCTACACCATATTAGTAATTTTATCAGAATGGCTACCCTTCTGTCGATAGAAAATCTATTCCCAAATCTTACAGATTTTGATTCACTAGATGTGCTTTTCGATTCATGCTCTAGATGTTTTTTCTCCAACTCTGACATCCTCCTTTTCTTCTTCAATGCCGGTGACAACCCAAACTCTAGCGAAGAGCCAATAAATGAGGGTCCCGGGTTAGAGTGGGGATGGGAGGGGTGGAAGGGGAAGGGAGAAGAAGGGGGAGGTTGCCGGGCTTAGAGGGATGGTTGTGGAAGGTGGAGGCGTCGGTGCCGGTTGGTAGCAGTGGAATAGCTAGCTTGTGGTTAGGAGGTGGTGGCTGATCCAACAGCGAGGAGCCACCAGAGACAAGGAAGATGGCGGGGTAGGGGCATCTCGCTACCGATGGCTCCAGAAGGGAGGAGAGGAGGGGGGGGGGGACGCGTGAGAGCTAAGCAGCGACTGTATCGTGAGAAAGGGGATGAGGAGGAGGTTTTGTGGGTTTCTGTCGTGAGAAAGGGGATGAGGAGGAGGTTTTGTGGGTTTTAATTTGTTGCTCTGGCGCAAATCTTAATGCAATTGGGTGGTCTAAACTTTGCAGGATTTATAGAAGGATTTTCTATCAAATGATGTATAGACAACCTATAATTTTATATACTGTAGTGTGTTATATCTCATATAATCTAACATGTGTGACCCTTTGTCAGATAATATTTAGTGTTTTTTTTTTGGTTCTTCTAGACGAGGAGGGTAATAGGGCATCACGGCTAGCAGATGGCAAGATTCGCCTGCCTTTGCCATTAGCAACTATAAAAAGAGATCCGCCACACTTAATAGTTTCTAATATGCATCAGCATCCATATAATTAAACGGATAGATACATGTGCACCCGTAAACCGTCCATGTCGGTTGCATGCTTCATAAAGATAATGAAACAAATAAAATAAAATAAAACGGAGATATATATAATGAAGGAGGAATTAATAGTCCTTAATGTGGGATGCATTAATTGCATTACCTAATTTTATCAACGTCACCTATTAAACTTAGACATAAAATGATGATGATGATGATGATGATGATGATGATGATGATATGTTCACCAATTAAACTTAGACACAAAACAATGATGATGATAATGTGTTTTTAAGAGTACTGCGCAACTGCCATTTCGTCCTCGTCTCACCAATTAAACTTAGACACAAAACAATGATGATGATGTGTTTTTAAGAGTACTGCGCAACTACCATTTCATCCTCGTCTCACCAATTAAACTT